AAAACATTTCAGGCAAATTAAAATTTAATTTTAAAAATGTATTAATAAATTGTGGACGATCGAGAATAAGTGCTTCGAAAAATAGTTTCTCTTTTGTTTCGGACTAAGAAGAAGAAAAAAAAACGGTACATTTTAAGACTCTTAATTATGCTTTATTTCATCTTACAGTAAGATCATTTAAATCGTCTTTAACAATATATTCTTTTGCTATTTCAATAGCATCCCATGCGAGTGCTAATTGTAATAACTGTCCACGATCAAGTTCTGAATTGATTTCAGAATTTTTCTTTTGTTTTGCTAGAAAGAATAAATTTACAAAAACAAGGAACATTTCTACTAGAAGAATATCATTAAATATATACCTTGAATAATAGCTTCAAAAATAGTATCATCTAAATCATGATTACTTTCAAGACTATATATTTGTATTTTATGTCGAACAGCTGGTTGTAAACAATAAAGAAAATAATTAAATAACTCATCCATTTGTTTGTCTGATGTTCTTGATCCTTTTGATATAGCTTTCAAACCATTACGTATTTCTTCTTCATAACGACGAAATAAATTTCTTAATCTTCAAATAAAAAAAAATAGAAATCACCAAATAATTAAAATATCAAGAAAGGTAAAATAAAATATTTACTTTTCACTATCTTGAATATCAACTACTTCTTTCCAATTCGTAGAATTTTCATCTGTTTTTTCACTTCGATTAATCATTGTTTCCGTGCATGTAAGAAAATTAGCAAGAAGATTAGGTATTCGACCACTACCCTATTAAAAAACAAAAATAATATCAATAAATAACAAAAATATCCTTCAACAAAAATCTTTACATCAACCAACACAACTGGTATACCAACACGAAGATCATTATAAATTGCTGATAATGTATCTGGACCACCTTCAACAACAATTGTTACTGTAGGAACTAAAATCAAAAATAAGAATTCGAAAGATACAATTCGAATAATGTATTAATACCATTTGCACTATTATACTTTGAAACTTCAGTAACAAATCTTGTCCGATAGTCTCCCATTTCATATCCATAATAAGTACCATCATCAAGTAGAAGAAAATGTGTATGATTAGGTTCAAGATCTTGTTGACCTTTTTCATTTTTAGATGTATTCATTGATACATCAATATTAGGGTTAATCGATGATTTTTTCTAAGAGAAAAAAAAAAAAGAAATCTACAATTCAGAAAAGTTGTTTTTTTTTTTTTTACTAAAATAAGTGCTTCTCGATTTCTTGTTGCTCCCCATTTTGAACATCCAATAGCCGTAATATGACTTCGTGGATTAGTTACTTTGTGATCATGAATAGCTTCACCAACTAACTGTACAACACCTGTTCGAAATCCTGTTGTAACAATCCAACCATCTTGTTTTTGTTTAAAAAAAAATATTTAATTAATTTTGTTCGAATTTTTTCTTTTTTGTTTACCTGCTTTTAATGCAGCTTGAATAATGCCTTTAATAAATTCTCTCTCAAGTCGTTCATTTAATTTAAAATATTTTGCACCACCAATAATACACATAATCAATCGTGGAAATTTAACATTCCATACATCAAACATTAATTTAGCAAGAATATTTGGTTGGGTTTCAATATCACATCGTATATAATGAGAACGAGAATTTGGAATAAATCCATATGCATTATTACATGCTGATTTTGTATGTTTCTTTTGATTCCATACAAGTTCATCCCCATCAATAATATCCCATGAATGTTCACGATGAAGACGATTGCAGCCGCAACGTATATCACTTCGACTTATACTAAAATTCATAATGTAAATTTGAATTGAGTGATAAAAAAACATACTGATCATTTGTTGGTGGAGTTTTCGGAATAAATGTTGTGCATGTTCGTCGTCTAATATTAAGTTCTTGATGTATTGCATGAGTCCAATCATCATCGAATTTTCTTGAAAACTAAATTACCAAAAAAAAAAGAAAAAAGAAGAATTTAATATAGAGAAATTCGGTAAGCTTACAAGATTGAGTTTATATTCATTGTTGCTTTTATTATGATTAGAATTGTCCATTTCTATCATTTATAATGCGAAGTAAAATATTTTTACATGTAAAACTGATAAGGTTCTTGCGTAGTTGTCATAGTAACAAATAAAACTAGACATCATCATGGTATTTATTTTCCGTGTAATAACCTCCCGTAAATATAAGGAAGTTAACTATAAGAAGGAAAAGAGAGGTCGCGCTATTTTTTTTTTGTCACCTATATTTTGTAAGAAAAACTATTTTTCTTTTCTACCTTGTTTTTTATTGCTAAGCGTTATGACGTCTCAAGACGAGAGAAATGAAATATTTAAAAGAAATTTTATTTATTATTATGTCAACGTTTGAATGGAAAGAAAACTATTTACTCTTTTTTTTAAATATAAAACACTCCAGTCACATTTTTAAGTTATCGTAACATCTCAAGAGATAAAAAATTAATCCAAAGAATAAGTAATCATGTTGGCAAGTAACTTTATTGAAAGAAATATATTGATATCTACATTTATATGCCGTAAAAAGCAACCGCAATTTTTTTATTGAAAATGTCTTATTTTTAGTTTGAGAAAAACTCGATTAATCATGCACATATTTTCATTGTGTTTACTTCTAATGATTAATCTTTTAATTGTTGTCGATGTATATATACATCAAAGCGATATTCATCGAAAAAGTGAACACTATAATAGTAAACATAAGTTTAGAGCAGTTGTATTTTTGCGTTTTCTTCTCGATGATAATAGCTAGAAAGAATTTGAAAAAGCATTTGAGTAGTAAGACTTTCAAAACCAGTTAACTAGCATTCAGTAAAAGTGTTTTGAAAATTGTTTTATTTGATAAATAGGATGTCTCGTTTTTCTTCATGGCCTTACTTCATCGAACTGAATTCAGTTTATAGAAGGTTTCAAAGAATTAAACACGGCGAAATTACTGAAAATTTTCTTGCCTTAAAAACAAAAGAAAATACTTGATGATTCCTTTATAAATTGAATACAGTTCGATGAAGGAACGTTATGAAGAGATGCGAGACGTATTATTGTGTCCACAATTATTTGCTGCATCAAATAAAAATATTATTAAACAGTTTCAAATGGATGCCAGAAACCTGGTTTTGTGAAGTTTTGGTTTCCCAAACATCCTCATTCAAGCAGTTTTACTGGACCTTTTAGATATCCTTCTCCTCTCCCACAATTCCGATAGAAAATCCTTTCAGCTACTCAAATATTGTTTCATATTCTCTCTAGCTATTACCATTGAGAAAACTCAAAAATGTCACTTCTCTAAACTTCGTCCAGCACTATACGATTATTTAACCTTGCTTTTTTGTGTGCTCTATATTGACTCTAACATCTAGCACTAGTTAGAGCTCACTTTACCAATTGTATTATTTCACATAGAGTATTGTCCTCTTTGTCAAGAAAAACGTTTTTCTGTTCAAAATAGCCTTTCTTCCTGAACATCATTCGTGAACTGGTATTGGCTTTTCAATTTATTATGTTTTTTTTTTGCTTTCTTTGTTACTTTCTTTCTAGGTAAGAGTGAAAGACATAAGTGTACAGCAAATTATACATACATAAAAAACAAAATAATAAAACTCTTTTGAAAAATTGTAGGCATAAAATTTCTTTTTAATTTTCAGAGGAGACATTCGTTTTCAAACCCATTATTATACAATTGAATTGTTTTTAATTTGCTGCTGTAACATTACTACTTTATAGTGCATATAAAAGTATTAAAAATGAATCTGTCGAGAAAATGTTTATCTTACTCTTAAACATTTTAAACTTTTAAAAGTTTATTGATTAGTTTTTAAAAAAATTCATAGCTAACTGGTTAATAATAAAGCATATGTAAAAACGTTGATTTATATTTTTCAATTGATATACATGAAATATCATGTTGATAGAGTTAAGACTCAAAGTTGATCTTCAATCTTAGCAATATTGATTTGATTATCTAAGTCTTTCTTTTTAATTTAAAAAGAATATAAAAGTTAAGTATTATCTGCTGAATATTGTATATGTATATGAACAATTCGTCGAATCTTGAAAACATTTTTTGCTGTCTTTATATACAAAATAAGGAATAAAGGGTGAATACAAAAAATATTAATAGAAGAGTGTATTAGATAAGATCATCGAAAAGTAACTTGGCACTATTGGACGACTTAAACAGAGCAAAGACATAACAGACAATATGTCGCTGATTATCGTTGTCAACATAGTGTTTATTTTGATGCAATATCAAAATAAAATTATCTTCGACTTTAAACATCATATCGATTAAAACTGACTACAATATTCCTAAGTAATAGCATCAAGAGAATCATTCTTTAAATAAAAAGTCTGGATAAAAAGAGACCATACGCAATAATAGAAAAAGAAGTTGACATGGAATAACTACAGGCAATCTCGGATGTACTACGATTTTCTGATTGATTTAAGTTAAGTAATTGAATTAACAAATCTTTTTTTATGGCCATGAAATGATGCTATTTTATCGATATATTGCCTTCGTAATTGTTTTAAGTAGTATATTATACGGTTCACAGCGTTGTATAATAGTCTTCATCATGACAAATACAAATAATATGCTACTTGAAAGTTTTATGGAGTGTAATGCTAAAGTGAACAGAAAGATGCTTAGACACAAATAATAAAACTACGAAATTTTCCAGGAATTAATCAAAAAATCAGAATCTCATAATACGATTGACCTCAGAATAAAACAAATTCTGTTGAAAAAATAATCGTGTTAATGCAACAATTATTCGTAGACAGATTATAATGATGTAATCTAGAATTGCATCATCTATTCTATAAGAAAAATACAATTGCGTCATTCCTAGGTATAATATTTATAATACTATGGACCAATTATAAAGGTAAATAGTGTTGTCGTCTTTCTATAACAAGCGAAAATATTTCGTGAAATAGTCGCTCAAATTTTTTTTNAAACACTTCCAATAGCTATGACTTCGAAAGTGCTATTTTTGGCAATGCGATCTTGGAAGAGAACAGAATGGTATTGGCCTACAGGATGTATGGTATAATTCATGAGAAAAAAAAATCCTCAAATGGGAATTTTTTTTTTGGGATGCATTTATAGTGACCAGTTTGGGACAAATGATAAACATCGAATGATCATGCTAAAAACTTTTATTCTAGTTTATACTGTTTAGTACAAGAAGTAAGATGCTGTTGAATTACAGTATATATATATATAGTGTATTTTATGAAAAATAACCCCAAAACTAAAATCCCCATTTGGTGACCAGAATTTATATTAATTGTATTTTTTTCCCCAAATGGGGATATGATTTGGGGGGTTAATTCAGGAAACCACAATTTGGGGCAAATGATAACCTACCCTAAAAATTGTGTCAGTTAATAAATATTTAAAAGTATTTTGATGTTTAATATTGAAAATTTTTGCTAAAATAAGTTTTTTTCAGTAGAATCGATTGATATTTGCAACATACATATTAGATATCTAGTTAGATTTATTCTATTAAAGATTTTGAACTTTCTATTTCTTTATAGTTATAGAGATACAACTAACATAAAATTTATAGGAGTTCTTTTGAATTCTTTTTACAAATAGCACAAATGAAAAACTTTAAGTTTTTCTATGAATCTTTCATATTTTCTGCATATTACTTTTGCATTGTGTCATTTGTTATTATTTAAAAATACTAATTTGCTACTAATTTTTCAAGATATTCAACATAACAAATATCGAACAACAGTTATAATGAATAATATTGAATCGGTATTTAACGAACGTATTTATCCTGAAGTTGATAATAGAAAATTTGCTGATATTTAACAAATTGAGACAGTTTGAGGGTGTAATTAAAGAAAAAATTGAGAAGAGAAAGATTTGAAAATGAATCAGAATTGAAAAATCAAATAATAGAAAAATGGAAAATACTCATTACAACAACATGCGAGGAAACGACAGAAAAATTACTAAATTGATTGACACAAGTGATAGATGAAAATGAAGAATAGATACATAAACATTGACATACGTTTTCTTCTTGTTATATTTAAACAGTTTTCAATGATAAAACTCGTTCTATCCATTGGCTTTTTTTTTTTGTTTGAAATTTATAATAAAATGTCGGAAAGATCCTCACAAATTTATTCAACAAATTTCTTTGAATTTTTATGTTACTTGTATTTTTGTGATTATAAAAGATACAAAGTTCAAGATCTAACTAGTAGTATCGTAGATTTATATATCTAAGATATATGTTATAAATATAAGCCTATTCTACTGAAAAAAAAAACATATTAGAAAATAATATTTATTGAAAAGGATCAAAACTTATTAGATACTTTTTATAGATATAAGAAAATATTTTAAATCTATTCATATAAAATGAACACTATCTTAATTTGTAATAATTCACATATAAAAAAAATTAAAAAAAAATTAAAAATTTCATTTTATTAAATATCTATTAACATAATATAGAATGAATAAAATTTATTTATTTATATTATAGAAGAAAATTTTTTATTAGAAAAATAATTTTCATTGAAAAATTTTTCGTTTTTTTTTTTTGTTTTTTAAGAAATTATTAAAAATTTGTGTTTAGATGAAAATACATTTTCAATAAATTCTACAAGTGGAGATTTATGGATATTAAAATCATTTGATCGTGAAATAAAATCAAATTATTCTTTATTAATTTGTGCATTTGATGGAATATATCAAACATGTTCATCTATATTTTTAAATATTCTTGATGAAAATGATAATATTTGTAAATTTAATTTATCATCAATAACATTAACAATAAATGAAAATCTTCCATCAAATACAAATTTAATAAAAATTCAAGCATTTGATCCAGATTATAAAGAAAATGGAACACTTTATTATAAATTATCATCTAAAACATCTTATTTAAATATTAATTTAACAACAGGAATTATTCAAACAACAATAAATTCATTTGATTATGAATTAATTCAAATATATTCATCATTAATTATAGCTTGTGATAATATTAATTCATTACCATCATTATGTTGTTATTTAAAATTATATATAAATATAAATGATATTAATGATAATTTACCTTATTTAATTTATCCATCATCAATAAATGATATATTTATTATTGATTATACAAATAAAACAATGCCTCGTTTAAAAGCATTTGATAATGATATTGATCTTAAAAATCGTTTTATATCTTATTCTATTATTGGTGGTTCACTTAATTCATCAATAACTATTGATTATCTTTCAGGTCAATTATATCTTTTATCAACATCAAAACTTCCACTTTATGGTACTCTTATTATTTCACTTTCTTCTCAAACAAATATTCAATTAACAATATTTATTCATGATAATCAAACTGATCCACAAAAATTTTTAATATCAATACAACAATATTCATTTTCATCACAATTATTTTATTTTATTTCTTTTATTTCAATAACTATTATAATTTTTTTTCTTATAACAATTTTTCTTAGTTTTTACTTTTTTAAACAAAAACAAAAACAAAAACAAAAACATGATGATGATCCGTTAATGAATACACCATCAACAACAACACTTTCTGCTCGATCAATATTAACAACAACTAATAAAAAAATTTATGATACTTATTATTCATTTGGAGATAGTGTTACTCCTGATATTATTCATGTTTAAATCTTTTTCTTTTGTCTTTTGTGTGTTAAATATAATTTTGATGTTTAATCTGTTTTTTTTTCTTCTTAAATACATACACAGTTCTCAATTAACTTCTAATTGCATTTATATGTATCTTAAACATATTATTTCTCTGTATCATTTTAATTGAACAAATCACTATAGTTATTTCAAATTGATCAAAATAATATTCGTATGTGCTTTGTAAAAAATTCAAATAGTAATCAATAACTACTTGTAACTTATATTTCATTATATTATAGTTATTGAATTTATATAAAATTAAGAATGATTAAAAGTATTGAAAAATAATATTGAAAAGATATAAGCTATCTTGTAAAAATATATTGAACTACATAGATTAATTAAATGAATATGTGACGACAAAATAAAAAAGTATATTTTTCTTTCTCAATTATTAATATCACAATTGAATATTGTTCTTTATACATTTTATTATTTTATTAAAGTCATATTTGATTGATGAGTTGTTCATATATAATTATCATTCTATAGTTTTTGCAATCTTGTCGAAGTTGAAAGTATCGATAAGTTCAATGTAAGAATTCTGATTGAAAAGCTGAAAAAGAAAATAATGGTGTTCAGTATTTGATTTAATAATGAGTCTTACTTTTATGAAAAAATTTTTTCGAAAATTAAATCTATATTTCATTCTGATGGATTTATAATTGTTTGTTGGTTTATTTTTATTGTCAACAGGTTTTAATGAGATAAAGATTGAATACTTAAAAATATGTTATAGTATAAATTATAAATAATTGATAATGAAATTAGAAATATCAGCATCTTCGGCGAACAAAGTCAATTATTTTAGCTTTAACAATTAATCTATCAAAGACGTAAATTGTATCTAAAAGACAAGGTGAAGGTAGCATGAAGGACGATAATAGTCTTACAACAGTAATGGAGATAATTACGATCCGAAAGCATTTTAGACAAATGGCGTGACTTTCTCTGTTGACTTCCTCATGGAATGAGATGTGGGGTAGCATAGTTGCGCCTAATGATAGTTGAAGCAATTCTTTCATATATTTTTTAAGAAATTAGTATTCCATTTTTCAACATTCGAGTTATGAACAACCACATAAAGTCGAAAATACTACAAAACAATATTTTATTTGGGTAAAACATAACCGATCATACATGCATAGATGATATATCTATAGATAGGGTCGAAAATAATATTATTCTAGAGGGCTGGGTAGCGCTATGATTTCAAATGGCATTTCAAGTGAATTTTATACCAAATGAAAGTTTGTGAAAAATGGAATGTAGAAATATAATTGACCACTCATAATATAAGAATGGGCTATAGAATCGCGAAAAGTTTTCAAATTTTTAGATACATAATAGGACATTTCCACCAATAGTCAACCACTAAAATATCAGGTTTATTTCGCCTTTCACACATAATAAAGCTCGTTTCGTTGATCATCTTGGTAGAAACAAATTAAATTTGATCGATTGACAACGATCCTATGGTCCAAATGCTGATAATCTCAAGCTAATCTGACTAATAGAGCTTATATGTTAATGAGCATTTGAACCTTAGAATCGTTATCAATTGATCAAATTTAGTTTGTTTTTACCAAGATGATCACCGAAGACAGCTCTATAAAGTGTAAAAGGCGACAAGACCTGATATTTTAGTGGGTGACTATTCGTGGAAATATCCTATTATATATCTAAAATTTGAAAACATTCCGCCATTCTATAGCCCATTCTCATATTATGAATAGTCAATTATACTTCTAAATCCCATTTTTCACGAGCTTTCATTTGGTATAAAATTCACTTGAAATGTCATCTGAAATTAAAGCGGCATCCCTTCCTCTAGCATAATATTATTTCCGACCCTATATATACAGATACTCTAAAAAGTATCCAAACACTTAAGATCACTCCCATCTTTTCTTNAAAACATTCCGCCATTCTATAGCCCATTCTCATATTATGAATAGTCAATTATACTTCTAAATCCCATTTTTCACGAGCTTTCATTTGGTATAAAATTCACTTGAAATGTCATCTGAAATTAAAGCGGCATCCCTTCCTCTAGCATAATATTATTTCCGACCCTATATATACAGATACTCTAAAAAGTATCCAAACACTTAAGATCACTCCCATCTTTTCTTAAAACCAATTATGGTCGAAACACATGCAAGTCCCATGAAATTTTCAGGATATATTGGGACTGTAGCCGAGAGACTATGGTAAAATGTTCAGTCCTATAGCATGACGTTTAAGGAAGATGTTCATTAAACAAGAGTCAATAATGGGTTATTTGGCAAACCAAATTTCTCTGTGGACCTTCATTCTGTACATTTGATTTTATTTTTGTTTGAAAGAGCATGTCAGAATGGAGTGCTGTACAGAGTGCTTTCTTTTTACATTCTTACTTTTTAAGCCGATAAAATCGATGACAAGTTCAATGAACTAAAAAACTCCGAAAAAAATGGGAGTGTTTTGAATTATTAAACTTGTTATCTATTTTCTCGGCTTAAAAAGTAAAACTATACAAAAAAAAAGAAGCTTTGTCATGCTCTGTATTCTGACATGCTCTTTTAAACAAAACAAAAAATAAAATGTACAGAATGAAGGCTTACAAATAATTTTTGGGTTACCAAATGACCTATTGTTGATCTTTGTTTAGTCAATATTTTCCTCAAACATCATGTTATACGGCTGCAAGTTTTATCATAGTCGTTTCACAACAGTGCCAACATATCCTAAAAATCTCATGTGATTTGCATGTATCTGAATCAAAATTGTTTTTGGAAAAGGATAGAAATGGCTTTAAGTGTCCGAATATCTTTTGAAGTACCTATATATATATATACTTATGAGATACTTGTTTAAATTTTAAACTATATGGTGATTAAATTTTCACAAATTTAGGTTTAAAATAGATTTAAATATTATGCTCGTTATAGTTATATTCATTAAGTTTTAATCAAGATTGGTTACAGTTTAGTTTATACATTTAACAAATGACTTATCAAGGTGAGATAATAAAATGAACAGTATCCCATATGGAATGAAACTATCAACGATTTAATTCTTTTCTTTTAATTTGAGCGTTTAACGTATATTTTTTTCTCAGAAAAAAGTCCTAGAAATAGAGCTTAATAGCTGGTATAATAAAAGTATGATTGAACGAGGGATCTTGAAGAATGAAGAGAAGAGCAGAATGTTTATCTTCCAAAAATTAATTTAGCAGCACTGTTGCTTTCTCAAGTTTAAGTGTTGGTTTAAGTAGATGGACGTTTATGTACGTGTAGGTAAGAAAAAGAGATGCACTGACATTCACACCTATCTTTGATGCGAGCTGTAAGTCTTTCTAAAAATAATAGGCACACGTAAATCATGCGAGAGCAAAAGTTCAAATGAACGATGAAATGCTGAAAAAATTTACTGAATATTTCGAAACGATCAATCAGTGAAATTGCCCTAGCCTGTTTTGATTTAAAAAATTCGACTGTCATGGGCACATAAATCGTCACATTTTTCATCCATATTGGACTACATTATCTCCCTAAATAGATGATATGCAATATTTTAAATAGTTCACTTTTTCATCTGTTGCTGCTCTATCATTTGGTATATTGCATGAAAAAATTCTCTGCATTTTTTTTTATGCATAGTTATGATAAATATTTTTAGGATGATTTATGAATATTTTTTTGATAGTGGGTATGTAGTGCTCAAAAGTCGATATGGGGTAACTTTACTATAGTACATCCAAATGCATAAAAAATTTTGATTTAGTGGTTTCAGATGATGACCCTTCTAATGCACATAAAAAATTGAAAATGAGAATTTCGACCATTGCTTCGTATGCTGCTGTGATCCTGAATGTTCTCATGAAGCATCTCTCATTTATTGGCTAGAGTGCATACGATCAATAGTACTGATTTTAAAGCCAAAGAATCATTAGTTTCCACCATTACTTTTATTAAAATGTCCAATAAGTGTTGAGGTATGTATTTTCGATTCACAGTTGACCATATTGTATTTTTTCACTATGATGTTTCGCTGACACGATTCTATACATTTTTACTCGTTTCACTTCAGTTTCAATGATTGACCAAGGGCAAAATCTTTTTTTGACGACTACAAAATTAACTTGTGCTCATAGGAAGAAAATTAATTTTATAACTTCTGTGACCGAACCGTAGAGTGAAAAGAAAAACGCTTTATAGAAAAGTGTCGTATGTTTAATACAAATTATTCTTCAAGAAACTAATTTCAAACAATGAAAACAATGTATATGCTTGAATTTCTATATAAGAATGTTAGAAATGTTGTTTCGTGTCTGCGATAAATATGTCATCCATATGTATGTTCCTTTGGACAATATTTCGAGTTTCCATTAGATATGGATTCTACAGAATATGACAGGCAGTGTCGAGTAGCTCGGTTTGTTCTATCAATTGAATTGTTATTTATAGCTTAGTTACTTTATTTTTAAAACAATCAGGAATCATGAACTGTCACATTTTACTTTTGAGCATGAATATTAAAGATTAGTATTCAATCGATATTATCTGATTGTAACAGTTAAATTAATTAAGGTTGTTGTTCAGAGTGCATGCTCAATTTTGCAATTCTGAGAGTGAGTGCCATTGATGATTACTTGGAAAAAAGTAAGTTGTACTGTTTTTGATATCGAGATGAAACAGTTTTTCAGAAGTCTCAGCATATCTGACCCGAAAAAAATACTCGACTGATACATTAGACGAAGCAACGTGACGAAAGATTTTGCTAACGATACTCTGACATGCTTCTATCTATACCTTCTTCAAAATATTTCGCAATGCGGGTCAATATTATCTTATGCATCGCTGTCGTCTATTCATTCATGTTCACTCATTTTACTTATTGAATACTTATAGTCACAATTTAAATCGAGTATTTCATCAGTTAGATCGACACCGATAGTACTGACGAGGAAAATATTCTGACAACCGTTAATG